GAAGCACTGTGTACTCTCCAATGATTCACTCCCAAATGCCTGCAACAAACGGGAGGGACCAACCCAGCAGTGCGCATGCCGCCCGGGTCCTGCCAGAGGCATCTGTGGGACACTGGTGTCAGCAGCTGGAGCCACAGCTGGACCCCGGAAACTGCAATGTGGGACGTCTCTCCTAAAAATAATGGTGGGCACCTGAGCACCCCACTAACTTCAATGGACAAATCGAGACAAAAAACTCATTCAAGAAACAACAGAGCTCACTCAGGCGAGAACAGATGGACTTGGCTGATAGGCTGATACCTGCACGCTTTCCATTCTGCACTGAATATATTTTTCTTCTTCTTTTTTATTGATTACATTGCATTATGTGACACAGTTTTATAGGCACTGGGATTCCCCCCACCCCTCCCTAACATGCCCCACCCCATGGTGGATTCCTCCACCTTGTCGCATTACCACAGTTCAGATTTTTTCATTGCAAGCATCTACCAAGCATAAAGTCCAGCATCTTATTGTCCAGATAAGGTCAACAGTTTCTTGGGGAGACCATCTCTGGTCTGAAGTTTAAGCATTGCTTTTTTCAATTTATTTTTTTACATTTTTATTATTACTATTATTGTTATTATCATTTTACAATATGGTTCCATAGGCTCCTGGGATTTCCCTTATGTCAGCCCCAATTCCCCCCCACATCTAGTTCCTCTATATCATTACTAAAGTATAGTTCTTCATACACAGTCATATGTCCATTATTGCGGACATGAACAATGGCAGAGTCCAGCATCCTATTGTCAAGATACGGAAAATAGTATCATTGTAAGTCCATCTTTGTCTGGAAGTAGAAATGCATACTACACTGCATCCTCACATCTGGATGTTAGTCTCCATTTCACAGCTACTGTACATCCCCTCAAATGAAAAGTCATAATACAAAATCAACAATAGAAAGAAAAATAGGAATTTACAATGCCATGAAGTTAAATGACATGTTACTACATATGACAGTCTCCACTACACAGCTACTGTACATCCCCTTAAAGGAAAAGCCACAAAACAAAGTCAACATCAGGGAGAAAAAAGAAATTACCAACACCATGAAGTTAAACAATATGCTATTAAATGACTAACGTGTAGCTGAAGAAATGAAAATCAAGAACCTTCTTGCAGAAAATGATGCTACTGAATGATCTATGAGTCACTGAAGAATTTAATCAGAACAAAGTGTTTTGAAGAGGTGAAACTAACAGAAAACAACAAAACCCATGCGATATAGTTTCCGCTGATTTTTGTTGGTAAAGTGTGTCACTTCTAGACAACAAATAGATGGGTTTTGTTTTTTAATCCAGTCTACTAATCTACGATGTTTGATTGAGCTTAAGCCATTTGCATTCAGGGTTAATATGTATGGGTGGTACTTTGGTCCTGTCATTTTAGCAATGGGTTGTTCATTGGTTTAGTCTTCTGTTGTCATTTTACTGGGATGTTCTTCCCATTTGCCTTTGGTTTTGGTGGGCGCTATTCCTCTTCTCTGTCAAGAGAGCATCATTAAGTATCCTTTGTAGGGCGGGTTTGGAAGAGGCAAATTTTAACTTTTCTTTATTGTGGAAGAATTTTATTTCATTTTCAAAGACAAAAGAAAGCTTTGCTGGATATGTTATCTTAGGCTGACAATTTTTTTATTTTAGAATCTGGAATATGTCACTCCATTCTCTTCTTACCTGTAGAGTTTCCTGTGAGAGGTCTCCTATGAGTTTAATTGGCATTCCTTTATATGTCAATTGATTTTTTTCATGTGCACATTTAAGGATCTTTTCCTTATGTTCACTTGAAGAGAGCTTGATGATCATGTGTCTTGGTGAAGATCGCTTTTGATCAAGCCTGTTGGGAGTTCTCTGCCCCTCCTGGATCTTGTTTCCCAATTCTTTCTCTAGATTAGGGAAATTTTCCTTTATTATTTCATTAAATATATTTGTAAAACCAGTTTTTCTTTCTGCACCTTCTGGGACTCCCATAACTCTTATATTTGGCCTCTTAATAGTGTCTTTCAATTCTTGAATACTTTTTTTGGCCTGATCCAGCTCTGCTTCCAGCTTCTTGTTTGTTTTCCCCTGATGACAGGAAATATCTTCCAATTGTGAGATTCTTACTTCTGCTTGCTTCATTCTATTTTGGAGACTCTCCACTGTACTTTTAATTTGTTCTACTGTGTTCTTAATTTCTGATAGATCAGCCTTGATTTGCTTTATTGCTGCTGTTGCTTGTGTAAAATATTCCTTAAATTCTTTGAACTCTTGTTCGTGCTTCTCATTGTTAATCAGAAGCTTTAAAATGAGTTTTCTGAATTTTGTGTTCCCCATTTTCTCAATGTCTTCCTCAGTGAACTCTGAGGTTGGCAGAGGGTTTTGCTCCTTTGCAGAGGAGTGTTCACTAATACTCATTGTGCCTTTGTCTCTTCTTTTGCTCTTGGTCATTGTACTTCTGGTTAGCAGAGTCCTCTCCTTGGGGCAGGTTTCTAAGCTGTGTCACCCACAGGTCTTGATTTTACTTATTGCAGTTGGTGCATGGCTCTTTGTTTTCAGTCACTTCTGCCACTCCTTCCAGAAGTTCCAGGTCTGGGTTCTTATGTTAGATTTCCACAAAAAACTCCTTAGCCCCAACTCCTGGCTCACCACTCTCCACCTCCTGTGATACTGCGCTGAGGCTGCACTGTTGCCTGTACAATCTTTCTCCCACTTCCGGTTGGAGCAGGTCGCAGGATTAGGGAGACACCAGGTGTCTCCCTAGACACTAGGTTGTTGATGGCGCTGATCTTGTCGGAACCTGTTGGATATTAGGTCTGGGTGCCACATGGACCTATTTTGACCTATATGATGCCATAGTCGGTATTATTTTCCTGTGGGACCAGTGCAATCCACGGAACTTAGTGAGTTCTTGTGAGCTCAGCACATGCACAGTTCACCATTGTCCCCTGCATTCCTAAAGCTTTTGCCACTGTGTACAAAATGGTGCCTGAAGTAGCACTGCTAGAGTTCTTGATCTGCTGGACGTCAGGTCTGAGGGCTACCCAGACTTGCCCCTGGTGGAACCCGTAGAGTGCCACGTCATTGCAGTTCACTGAGTCAGAAATGAGCTCACTCCCAGCTCAGCACACGCTCAGTCCTTTCCCTTGTCCTTACCTCCTTAAGCAAAATGGTGCCCAATTCGGTTCTAGGGGAGCTGACCGGGCTGTGAAATCCACCCTGTTCTCGCACTGCCCATCTGTGATCTGCTGCTCTGTCTCTGCTCCTGGTCAAATCAAACGGACCAGCAGGATGAGTAGTTCTTTGTCTGGGTTCACCTCCCAAGCTCCCAGTGAGTCCCTTCCCACCTGGTTGCTGGTGGAGTTCTGGCTGCTGGTGGAGTTCAGATGGCCATTAGCTGGATGCCGCTGGATTATCAGTCACTGCAGCAGCACACCGCTGTGTCCGCTGCTTTCCTGTGTCTGTCAGTCTCCAGGTACCCCTCTGCTGTTGTTCTGTCCTCTCCTGTTTCCTGGAATGTGTCCTCTCTGCTTCATCCTGATCAAATGTTTCTCTGTGTGTTTAAATGTGTCCTTACCCTATTCTGCCATCTTGATTCTCCCAAGAATCTACTTTTTTTTCCAGTAGTTCATAGGACCTTCTCCAGGACTGATCATATTATAGGCCACAAAACAAGCCTCAGCATATTAAAAAAAAAATCAAATTCATACCATGCATCTTCTCAGACCATCACGGAATGAAAGTGGAGATCAGAAAGTAGAAATACCCAGAAAACAGGCAAATGCTTGGAAACTGAACAACAGTGGAGTATAGAAGAAATCAAAGAGGAAATGAAAAAATTCCTGGAAACAAATGAAGGCAATCACACCACTTATCCAAACTTGGGGATCGCAGCCAATGCAGTGCTAAGAGGAACACTCATTGCAATCAGTTCTTTTGTTAATAAACTAGAAAGGCACCGGGCTAACTGGACATCTGAAGGATCTGGAAACACAGCCAAATAACCCCAAGATCAGCAGAAAAGAGACATACATATGTTCTCCCTGTAGAGTAATAATTCTATTCGAGACGTTGAAATACCTACCCCAAGATTACACAGGTAATTGTATTCCAAAGGAATCCAAATTTAAACCCAGGCTGGCTTCAAAGACAGTGCTGCGTTGCACCGGGGCAAGTGCCTGGCACAGCAGTGAAGGCACGGTTTAGGATGCTCATACTCCAGACTGTGGTGCTTCAAGCGGAAGCTGCTGCTCTGTTCCCACTTCTGCCTGCCTGCTAATGCGGTGAGGAGGAGATGGCTCAAACACGTGGGCCTCTGCTACCCCTGAGGGAGACCAGGATGGAGATGCCAGCTCCCGCCTTCTGCCTGGCCCAGCCTGGCTATTTCAGATGTTTGCAGGATGGATCACCAAATGGGAGATTATTTCTTTGTTTATATTTATTTTTAAAAGGCCGCCACAGCCAGGACTGGCCAAGCTGAAGCCTGGAGCCTGGAACTTCATCAGGCTCTCTTACCTGAATGCAAGGGCGCAAGGATCTGGGCTGCTGCTCTCTTAGCACTTTAACAGGGAGCTGGATCAGAAACGGGACAGCTGGGACGTGAACCAGTGCCTATATGGGCTGTCGGCATCGCAGGCTGTGGCTTAACCCATTACTTCACAACACTGGCCTCAACGGTTTTCCTTCTTGAGTCACCACTCCTTTTACTAGCATTGGACATGGCTCTTTCGTTAACCCACCAAGCTTTGAAGGGCCACATATACTTATCCACTTTCCCTCATTCCTCGATGCTTCCCACCCCAATCAGTGGTCCACATGGACACGCATCCATCTCAACCATGTAAGCATCATCAACAATTAACTAAATTTATGAAATAAAAAGTTCTGTTTCTACTAGGCAGGATAAACAGGAGAAAAATTAATTTAAAAAATATGACTTTTTTTTTTTTAATGAAGAAACAAAAAATACAACCAACTCACCTCTGACTTCTCTCTGGTATGTCCAGCACAAACCCAAACATCATCTCGGCGATTTTGTTGGAGCTGCAGGTGGGGGTCCTGTCCACCTCCACGGCGATGGACAGCATCCTCTGGAGCTGGCACACAATCCTGAGTCCAGAACAGGAGACAAATGAGCAGGAAGATCGGGGCTGCCAGGAGGTCCCCACCCGGGGATGCTGGGAACAGACTCCTGGAGGGGCAAGTCGGCAGGTCGGAGAACTACTCAAGCCTTCAGTGTGCTGTCACTGAGCAGTGTCACCTGCCGGAGTCCCTTCTGCCACATCATCCTAGCTGAACCTCCCACAACCTGGGGTTGAGCTGCAAGAGCAAGCTGCTTGTAAATTCTAAAAACACAGCCACACGATTTCAAAGATCTAGAGGATGTTTTAAGGCTAACCTAGTCAGGTTCCGGGAGTCACAAAAAATGATGTGAATATATTTGATACTGGGGAAAATACAGATTTGCCATACGATGTCCTCCTGTGGCTATTTCCTTGTAATGCAGTTGATTTTTACTGAGTTCAGTCTGAGCATCTGCCTTGGTGGCACCTGACCTTGTCTCCTATCAGACCTTACTGTGGGGAGACAGGCGGCCCGATGTGACCTGCTCAATCCCTCCCAAAGGCCTGTGCTGGCCTGACATTGGCCGTTCCCAACACACAGGATTCTTACGGAAGAGCGGGGTTTGTTTTCAGAAAGCCTGTAGCCACTGACACAACCTGGTGGCAACCAGGGGCTTGGGCGTCACATACTGGGTCTACAGTGAGCTGTCCAACTTTGACAAGTTACCGAACAGCTCTGAGTGCAAACCTTTTCCTCTAGGAAAGAGGATGATAACACTACCTGTCTCAGAAAGTTGTGAGTGACGTGTCTGCTCTGGGAGATACACACTCTCTGACAAGAAATGGTAGTGCCTATGAGTGCTGTTGATGAGATGATGATAAAACTGACTTTTGGAGAGCCCTGATTTCGACTAATATTTAGTTGCAATAGATTATGAAGGATGATTACTCATGAGATTAGCTTCCATTAAAGGAACAGCATTTGACTAGTTCCCTCTGGGGTCTGTATATATGATGCTTCTGGGATAACCCAAACTTGGGGTTTTTCCCAACGTGCCTAAACAAATGCTGCATTGTTCCCAAATACCCCCTTTGAGATGTAAGACCCGCCTCCCTGCATCAGTTAAAACCTGGAGGCCTTACATGAAAATCAGGTTGTCGTAAGTAGGTTATAATGAGGCACTCTGAACTTCGGCACAAAAGCTGTATTTGAAACATCAAGTGGCTTTTAAGGATAAGATTAACATGGGAATACTGACTTAAGAATGCAAGGGCAGCCCAAGCCTTCTGAATCTAGCATTTCTCAACAAATACACAAGTAAAAATTCCAAAAACATTTTCAACTGCATACAAGAAACATCTGGGCTCTTTCCAGGAAGCTGCAAGGAGCCACTGAGATTTACATCTATTTACATATGGAAACTAACACATGTTCTCCAACAGATGCTGTGCACATCTGTTGGAAACTGCAGAACCAGAGGCTGAGTGAGCACTCACAGTCCATTCCTCCTTCTCTGGGTCACAGACACCTGAAGCGACAAGGAGGCGCCACCCGCCAGGGCCTCTTGGGACCCACTGTGCTCTTAAGTGTCACTAGTCCTGTTCCCCTGGGGCTTTGTTCTACCTTTAGCAACAGAAACTTAGTCTTTACTTAAAACTAAGGCTTTAGGAAGTCTGCCTCTTGCTCCAAGAGCTTGCTACTTTTGGAGAAGTCCGGGGGTTGGAGCTGTTCTCTAAGCCCCAAGAGCCCCAGGAAGGACAATGCAGCAGCTGCCTTACAGCGGAGTGGTGTTCTTTGCCACCACGTCAGGCTGAGGAGAGGCCTGGCTGCTGCTGGCCTGGTGCTTTCCCGTCCAGGAAGAGGTTTGATTTCCACTTGGGGGCTGAGTTAGTCCATCTTGAGTTACTGCTTTGACCAGCCACTTGATAACATCCCTGCAGTAGAAAGAAAGAAAGAAAGAAGGTTTAAACTTCTTGCTGCACTTATGGGGCTCATGACTGGGTCCCAGGTTCCTAGGTTTCCCCAAAGACAATGAAGAGAGCCTACAAAAGCTAACAAAAACATCAAGGTCTTTCTTCTGAGTTACAACTGAAAGCGACTTCCAGGGTCCAAGAACAGCACCTGCAGGAGCTGCCCAGGGACACTCCTCAGCATGCGGCAGGCGGGACTGGCTGATGACAGGAGTCCTTGCTGGCTGTTACTGGCTGGGTTCTATGTGCTTCTGGATTCTCTAACACTACCCTTTCTAAACTTGCATAAAATTCCACAGTAGAGGAAAATATTTTTGGGCATGCAACCTAAACAGGAAAAGCTGACCAAAACACAATGAAACATGCTTGCTGCTTTTTTTTAAAATAATAAGAAGTTAAAATATTCAGCACCCTATATGGGCTGTTGAAAATTACTCTCAAAAATGTCAGAGTGAATGAAATGTAAACCTGTGTTTCAATGATGCTCTGAAAAATGGCATGTTGGTTCATGTTGATGGAGGTATATACTTCCAGGAGAAAAATTCCAGCCCAAGATTTCTACCCTAGGAATCATGTTTTGTTTTTCCCCATTGGTATAAGTATGTAACACTCCTATACTTGGACCTGGATTCTACAACAGGATAGAGCAGGGGCTGGCACCAAGCTCAGGAGGTAAGGCATCCCTGGTGCTGACACTTCATACGGGGATCAGTTTGAGTCCTGGCTGCTCCACTTCTGATCCAGCTCCCTGCTAACGGCCTGGGAAGGCAGCGGGAGATGCATCCAATCCTTGGGTCCCTGCACCCATGTCGGAGAGCCAGAAGGAGCTCCTGGTTTTTGGTTTCAGTCAGTCTTAGCCCTGGCTTTGCAGTCATATGGGGAGAGAACCGGTAGATGGAAGATCTCTCCCTGTGTCTTTGCTTTTCTCTCTGTATATCTGCCTTTCCAATAAAAATTTAAAAATCTTAAAAAAAAAAAAAAGAACAGGGCCAGGTGGCTAAAGTACCCACCTTGAACACGCCAGGATCCCAGGTGGGTGCTGGTTCTCACCCCAGCAGCCCCGCTTCCCATCCAGCTCCCTGCTTGTGGCCTGGGAAAGCAGTTGAGGACGGCCAAGTGCTTTGGGACCCTGCACCCCTGTGGGAGACCTGGAGGACGCTCCTGCTCCCGGCTTGGATTGGCTCAGCACCAGCCGTTGTGGCCACTTGGGGAGTGAATCATCGGATGGTGGATCTTCCTCTCCGTGTATCTGACTTTCCAACAAACTATGAAACATTTTATAGAGATTACAGCTTTCCCCTAGCTCCCCCAAGGCACTCTGGACAACACTGCCAACAGACCAAAGGCAGCCTGATGGCCTCCAGAGAATCCGTCTGAGCTACGGTGCTCACCACACTGTTGGGGTTGAAGGCTTTGGATTATCTTCAGTTTTAGTAGTTATCCTTCTGATGCTATCTAGAGGTTGGCTACCTGGTCCAGCTGATGTTATCACACCCACTGGCGGCCCCCACCCTGTGGCAGCCCAGGGCTCCGGTGGCTGGCTGTTACCTGACGTTGTGGGGCTGCTTGTCGCAGGACAGTACCGTGTTTGCAATGGACTGTTGCAGGTGCTGCCGCTGTCGCCTCAGGATCTGCTGGAAGTCGTCCTCTAGTGTCTGTACCACGTAACGCAAGAAGAGAACTCGCCCAGGCAGAGTCTGGCCCTGGGGGAGAGCCAATGACAAGTTACTTCTATGCTGCATGGCAGGAAGCATTGGGTTCTTAGTGATGTTCAATCCAAGCATGATATACCTACAAGGCAGACTCCTGGGGAAAAGCAGGTACCTGGCTACTTAGAAAAGAGGACAAAAGAGGCAACAATGCATCACAATGTTTGGTTTCTAGGGCTTAAAAATAATCTCTGTATTGAAAAGATCTGGGCATTTGCAGCCAGCTAGAATTTCCTAACAGTAAAGCTGCAGCTAAAGGTTAGCTAGGGATAGGAACGGGCAGCATCTCTCCCTCTCCATGAACCTGACAATGAACCTCGGGAGAACCTAAAACAGGGAGAGCAGGACACCGAGAGGAACTAATTCCGTACTAATTCTTCTCAGCTGTCAGGCTGAACAATATGCTGTGCATACCGGCGTTTGGGAGCTGATGTGTACTGCTGTGTAAGTAGGTCCGTTACTGGGCTTGGCGCAGTGGCCCAATGGCTAAAGTCCTTGCCTTGAACGCGCCAGGATCCCATATGGGCACCGGTTCCAATCGTGGAGGCCCTGCTTCCCATCCTGCTCCCTGCTTGTGGCCTAGGAAAGAGGTCGAGGACGGCCCAAAGCCTTGGAACACTGCACCCTCGTGGGAGACCTGGAAGAGGCTCCTGGCTCCTGGCTTTGGTTTGGCTCAGCTCTGGCTGTTGCGATCACTTGGGGAGTGAATCATTGGGCAGAAGATCTTGTTCTCTGTCTCTCCTCCTCTCTGGATATCTGAGTTTGCAATAATAAATAAATAAATAAATCTTAAAAAAAAAAAAAAGAAAAGTCTATGCTTACAAATGGAGACGCTGAGTATCTCAGCCTCAGAGGTCCCAGAGAGACCCACCCACAGACCATATCTGATTCCTGGTATTTACTGTACATTATGTTGTTGAGCCTGAAACCTTTGGCACTGACGTTTTGGCTCAGTGTGTTAAGCTGCCTCCTGCAATCCTGGCATGCCATGTGGGTACTGGTTTGAATCCTGCCTGTTCCATTTCGAATCCAGCTCCCTGCTAATGCACCTAGGAGAGCAGCGGCAGATGTCCCAGGTATCTGGGCTTCTGCTACTCACGTGGTAGATCCAGAAGATGCCCTTGGCTCTTGACCCCGGCCTGGCCCTCCCCTGGTCATTGTGGCCATTTGGAGAGTGGGCCAGGCAACAGAAGATCTCCCTCTCTTCTCTGTTTCTCCTCCTCTCTCTGTAACTCTGCCTTTCAAACAGGTAATGTATCTTTGAAAACAAAATTAAACTGTGGTGCTCTAAAGGGGGGATCTCTTTCCTCCTCGGCCACGGCTTCTTCCACATGTATTTCTAGTCTGACGCGTTCTGTGCAGTTTCCATTTTACACCTTCCAACTCTTCATTCAAACCTCGAGTCCCTTCCCTTCTTTTTATGGTCATGGATTTAGGACCTTCTCAATTCATTCCCTAGTACCTTTGGTGAGATCTCGAGCAAAAATACAAGGGAACCTACTGAACCTTGAATTATCAGGTAGTGTCTTTCATTTCAATGACTTTTTTGGTGGGCATGGAAAAGTGGCATACTCGCAACTTTTTTTTTTTCTTTTGTAGTTAAAATTGCCATCTACCAAAGATACACTTTCAGAGTTGGTACCTCTTCCTCCATGACATAGGTAAGCAGCTTCCAGTCCCACTCCACCGTCTTGGCATTCGCAGGATGCAGCCTGGAAGTCAAAGTCATCCGTTAGATACGTGCAGAATTTAGTGGAGGAATGATGGGATCGGGGAAGTGAGAGCAGGATGAGGCCTCCCCTTACCGTGCTGGGGCCCACCCCATGGCAATCTGTTGACAGAGGAGCCCTGTTGCTTTTGTTACCCATTATCCACTCCTCCCTCGGGAGCCATTCGTGTTCTGATTTTGTCTTGATGTCAAATCAGCTCCTCTATTCTTAGCCGACCAACGTTACCACTAACACCCCTGGTTAGAATATTTCGACTTGTTGATTTGCCTCTCAGTGAACAGGGACCGGCTCAAAGAGGGGTTCATATGCCGGGTTAGGCCGATGGAGTCCCACACGACTCCACAGCAGCAGGGTTCACTGTGACTGTCACAGACGTGCACTCTCCCACTGGGAGCGCCACAAAAGCTCGAGGCACAAGGCTACCACGTGGAGCCCCCAAAGAGAACCAAAAGTGCGAGTGAAGAATTGAACCCTGCCAGCTACTTTTGAATACTGAATCAATAACATTCTACTTCTAGTTTTTTTAATGACTGCAAACTGGTTCACCGCCAGTCTGGGTTGGGCTTCCTGTCACTGGTAATACAACTAACACTGATCCGTGAAGCCTCCCTCCCTGAGAGTTAGCTGAACAAAAGCTTAGGCAAAAGACACCGTGTCCCAAGTCCAAGTTTCCTAGAGTGTGTGTGTGTTTGTTTTCCCCAAGAGCCAGCGGTTAGGGCACATTGCATACTGTTGAATTTTCATGAGGAGCATGTAGGCCTCGTTGAGGACATCCCCGGTCTCAGAGCCACTGAGCAGGATTTTCTGGATGATGTGAGCCACAATTTCTCTGGGTGGATAGTGTTGGGGTGACACAAAATCCATCAAAAATTGCACAGTCCCCAGGGGAAAATTTTCTTCAATGGTGTTTGTCACCATCCTTAATCTTCGATGAGGGATGGGTTCTAATTTTTGCCCCTTGTTCTGTAGAAATAAAGAGAAAGACACCAGGGTGGGTTCTCGCAGAATGCAACAAGAGGTTCTGGAACAGGTTTAAGACAGCAAAGTTTTTTCATTCATTTCAAATGCCTTTTATAGTTTTTTTGAAAAGGCAGACAGAAAAGTTGTAATATGGAAAAAAAACACCTGAGGATATGAGAAGCATGTATAAAGTTAAAAAAATAAGAATTCAAAATTCTCCATATAATATGATTTTATCTGTGTTAAAATACAGCATAGAGAAGAAAATCCAAGGGTCAAGAAGTAGCCTAGACTTATTTTTGGGGTAAGGATGACAAGCAATTTAGTGTATCAGAGACTGATATACAATTTAAAATACAATTTGTTAGCAGAATAAACCTATATTTTTTCTTAAAGACAATGGCAAATCTAAAGTTGCCTTTTGTGCTCTCACCCTCCCTTCCACCCCAAACAGGGCTTGTACAGTGCCCGTTTCTAAGAGTAGGGCCAAAATGTGAACTCTGAGGTTGCTCTCCACTGAATGGAAACACAAGTACTTCATTTATACTCTGCCTGTCTTCTCACGCACAGCCTCCCGTCAGTCAGGCCAACCTTATCCTGGGCCCGCAGGAAAGATGTCTGCACGCTAGAGGCAGATACATCAGCTCACCTCTCTCGCGTCCTTGTCCGGTATTAGCGTCTGGAAGAAGAGGTGATGCACTGGCGGTCGTAAGAAGTACTTCAGTCTGTGTAGGCATGGTCTGTTGAACAACCCACCTTGAGGTGGTTGTGTATGCACCTGGGCAGCCCTGGGGCTGGCAGGCTCTGCCAGTGGCATTTCTTTTTTAGCTGGGGTTTCTGGGACGGAGAGCCAAGAAACTTTTTCTAAGGAATTGTCAGACTGTGGAGACGATGGGCTGGAGCAGCTCGGCGAGGACGGGGTGGAGATGTCCATAGCAGTGTCACGGCTCTGTACGTCGTCCTGCGGAGAGTCGGGCCTGCCTGGTGCGTCTGTAGGTGAGTATGCCATGTTTCCTGATGGGCAGGTCACGCTTCTAGGACTAGGTAGCCCATTTCCGAGTGGCGACGATACGCTTCCTATGGACTGGGGTACTTTTCTTGGGGATAGTGGCACGCTTCCCCGGGACTGCAGCACATCTCCTGGCGTTGCTGGCACGTCTCTTGGCGATTTCAGTTTATCTGGTGGTGATGGCCAGCCTCTTGGTGACTGTGGCACAGCTCTCGGTGACAGTGATACGTCTCTTGGTGATTTCAGATTATCTGGTAGCGATGACATGTCTCTCGGTGACTGTGACATGTCCCTGGGTGAGCGCAGCACATCTCCTGGCACTGCTGGCATGTCTCTTGGTGATTTCAGATTATCTGGTAGTGATGGCCAGCCTCTCGGTGACTGTGACATGTCCCTTGGTGAGCGCAGCACATCTCCTGGCATTGCCAGCATGCCTCTCGGTGACTGTGAAATGTCCCTGGGTGAGCGCAACACATCTCCTGGCATTGCTGGCATGCCTCTCGGCGACTGTGACATGTCTCTTGGTGAGCGCAGCACATCTCCTGGCATTGCCAGCATGCCTCTCGGTGACTGTGAAATGTCCCTGGGTGAGCGCAGCACATCTCCTGGCATTGCCGGCATGCCTCTCGGTGACTGTGACATGTCCCTTGGTGAGCGCAACACATCTCCTGGCAGTGCTGGCAATTCTTGTAGTGACTTTGGCACAGCTCCCGACGACTGTGGCAGGTGCTGAAGGTGTGTTACAACTTGTGGATATGAGAGGCGTTGATGTGGGCTTGGTATATTTTGAGGTGGACCCACTGAATTCTGAAGTTGGCTCAGTGAGTGTTGAGGATACCATAGTAAGTACCGAGGTGGGTCTGGCACATTCTGCGGACAGCCTGGCACATTCTGAGGGCATGGCACATCTTGAGGACATGGCACTTCTTGAGGTGGGGGAGGCAAAGCTTGCAGTTGGCACTGCGTGGTTTGTGATGGGCATGCCATGGCTTGCGGAGGGCATGAGGAGGCTCGTGGTGGACATGGTGAAGTCCTCAGGGGGCAGGGCAAGGCTCTCAGTGAGCACGGCAAAGCTTGTGGTGGGCAAGGCACATCTTGCTGTGGGTATGGCCAGGGTGGCCTCTGATTGCTGCTTCTGCCGCTACCACCATTACTGCTTACTGGGGAGACAGAGCTAACACCTGAGGAGTGCTGTAGACTTCCTGGGAAATTGAGGTTGCCTCTGAGTGTGGTTGAGCTACAGTTTGGCTCTGCGGGATAAACAAAGTCCTGACTGATAGGTGGTAGGGAAAGAGGACCTTCAAAGGTGTTGTCCTCAAACAGGTCCAAATCCACAGGTTCAGCGTTAATGATTCTCGGGGCTGCTGGCTGAGAACTTCTGTCCACGGGTCCTTCCACCACCTCTTTGTTGGAGAGGCTGGGACATGACTGAGCACTTGTGGGCTCCTTCTGGGAAGGAGCCACAGGTTCCAAAGTCAAGTCCAATGTGGTAAGAGGTGTGCTTTCTTCCTCGCTCCTTGTCAGGTCAATCACACAGACTCCACTGCGATCCTTGGCCCTCGGTCTGGTGTCTCTGGTTAGGTCAATGTAGTCCTGTTGAGGATTTGGAGAAGAGAATGACTGAGGAATCTCAGCTTTATCTAAGACTAAAGCCTTGGCTTTCAAGGACGAGCACTGCCTTACCTTTTCATCTCAGCAATACTTTCTAATCTCGTATAACATAGCCTTGGTTTATGTTCTTCGCTGCACATTTTGCCACTGTCTATACCTTCTGAGAGGATCTGCACGTTACAGGTACTCACTGTTGTGAAGGGCAGTGGTAAAAGCTCTTCCAGTCCACGGAGGACAGGAGACCAGGCGATCTAAATGACAAGGAACTACGTAATCTTTGGAAAAGCAAAGAATAACCCATAACAGAAACAAAACAAGAAGGAAAACCTATGTGCTAAGGACATGTGAGGCACTTTCACCAGACATCTGTAGTTTTCACAACGATGCTGTAAGGAAAGTGTTGTCATCTCCATTACACAGATGGGAACCTAGAGTTCATAGGGGTGAAGTTATTTGCCTAGGGATGATATAGCTAAGCAGATCAGACAGATATCCAAACGCAGTTCTGTCTCCTTCCCCTGTTAGGCCTGGAAATACATAACTTCATTCAATATGTAATCGTAAAGACAGCTATGGAATAAAATAAAATCAATAGCGTAAGTCTGAGTCCTAGGTAGATGAATCGATGTAAACATTCTAGTTTCACTCCCTTTCTTTGGTGAGCTGATCACACAGCTTGATGACACCATCCAAATGTGACTTGCAGGACACCAAAAAACACAGGTGTCCTCCTCACTTGGTTGGGTGTCATTGCTATTAGTAGGTCAGGGTGCTAGACTTGGCAAAAACTACTGCTGCAATTACAGACATTTCTTTCTTTTCTTCTTCCTAAAAAAAAAAAAATGTATTTATTTACTTGAGAGAGAGAGATTTATTTACTTGTTTACCCCTCAGATGGCTGCAACAGCGAGGGCTGGGCCAGGCTAAAACCAGGACCCTTTCCTTTGGGTCTCCCTAGTGGGTGTCAGGGGTCTAAGAACTTGGGTCACCTTTTGCCACTCTTTGAAGGCCACTAGCAGGGAGCTGGTCAGAAGCAGAGCAGCTGGGACTCAAACCAGTGCCCATATGGGATGCTGGTGTTGTAAGTGCCAATCTAATCAGCTACGCTACAACACTGGCCCCTGTTTCTCTTAATATGAGTAGGATCTTCAGAGAGTTTATGGAAAATGCACATTATGGGAAAAACTGGAAGGATTTCAAAAATTTAATACCAAAAATAAATTTACCCTTTAATTTCATGTTCTATGAAAAATTTCAAGTACTCATGTAGATACAATATGGTCCCTACAATCAACAGCACAGGAGGGCCCAGCTCTGTGACATACTAAAGCTGCTGCCTGCAACACCAGTACCTTTATGGGCACTGGTTCATGTTCCAGCTGCCCCATTTCTGATCCAGCTTCCTCCTAGTAGCCTTTGGAAAGCAGCTGAAGATGGCCCAAGTGTTTGGGCCCCTGGCACCCACATGGGAGGCCCAGATAGAGCTCCTGGACCCTGGCTTTGGCCAAGCCCTGCACTGGCTGTTTCAACCATCCGAGAGAGCAAACTGTTTCTCTGTCTATGCCTCTCTCTAGGTTCGACTCTCAAATAAAGTAAAATGAGCAATTGGCATGGGCTGCATTCTGAAACAGGAGCTGCTTGGAGAACCGCGAGGCCTCATGCCTAGAGAGCAGAGCGCACAGCATCGGTGCTCTTAACAGTCAGCTGAAATGAACACACAAACAGCTCAAAGGCAACTCAAAGTCTCAACACAACTGCTCTCACAATGCGACGTTATCACGACTCTCCATCTAAATCCCACCAGCAGTGTCTCATAAGTGACAGGATAGAGGCGGTAAGCCATAGCATGGCTTGGAAGGCCTTTCATCGTAAGGTTGGTACTTCTAACCTCTCCTGGTGCTCTTCCTTCTTACACGAATTAGTGCTCCTTCTGGGTACCGTACAATGACTTCATACACCCTTTCTGTTAGCTGGAATAGCTATAACCCTGGATTACGTAGACATTTCTCAGTTTTCAAGACTCTCAGTAGATAGGAATACATATAAAATTCTCCTGGATTGGGGCCAGTGTGGTGGTGCTGGTTTGAGTTCCAGCTGCTCTGCTTCTGACCCACCTTCCAGCTGATGTGCGTGGGAAAGCAACAGAGGATGGCACAAGGCCTTGGGTGCCTGTATCCATGTGGATGATATAGACGAGGTTCTAGGCTTTCACCTGGCTCGGTTCTGCTTACTGTGGCCATTTGGGGAGTGAACCAGCTCATGAATGGAAGATTCTCTCTTTTCCTCTATACACACACACACACATATATATACACAACTCTGCTTTTCAAATAAAAAAAATCAATTAGGGCCTGGCGGCATGGCCTAGTGGCTAAAGTCCTTGCCTTGAACGTGCCGGGATCCTACATGGGTGCTGGTTCTAATCCCAGCAGTTCCACTTCCCATCCAGCTCCCTGCTTGGGAAAAGCAGGGAAAGCAGTCGAGGACGGCCCAAAGCCTTGGGACCCTGCACCAGCGTGGGAGACCAGGAGGAGGCTCCTGGCTCCTGGCTCTGGATCGGCTCAGTACCGGCTGTTGTGGTCACGTAGGTAGTAAATCACTGGATGGAAGATCTTCCTCTGTTTTTTTCCTCCTCTCTTTATATCTGACTTTGTAATAAAAATGAAAATAAATCTTAAAAATTAGGCATTTTTCCACTCTTTTGCCAGGCACATTACCAGCAACCTGAGCACGAAGTGGAGCAGCCGGGACATGACTGATACCCACGTGGGATATTGGCACTGTGGATGGTAGCTTAACTTGCTATGTGACAACACTGGCCCCACTAAATTATTTTTTCTCTTAGATTTCTGTTTCTACTTCTGTTGAAACTTTTTTTTTATTTAGTCACCGATGTTTCATTTTCTTTATCTTGTTGAACATATTTGTCTTCCTTGTTTATTGTAGATACTGATATCTTTTTATTTTTATTGGAAAGTCAGATATACAGAGAGGGGAAGAGACAGAAGGATCTTCCTTCTGCTGGTTTGCCCCCTAAGTGGCTGCAATAGTCAGAGATGAGCTGATCTCATCTGAAGCCAGGAGCTTCCTCCGGGTCTCCCATGCGGGTGCAGAGTCCCAAGGCATTGGGCCGTCCTCGACTGCTTTTCCAGGCCACAAGCAGGGAACAGGATGGGAAGCAGGACCATCAGGACTAGAACTGGTTCCCATATGGGATCCTGGCGAGTGTAAGGTGAGGACTTTAGCCACTAGGTTATCACGACGCTGAGTCCAAGAGACAGATTCTTATATCTGCTAGTTCACTCCCTAAATTGCCAGACTGAGTGGAGTTAGGCTAGGATGAAGCCAGGAGCTGAGAATTGCTTCAGATCTCCTCCATGGGTGCCAAGGGCCCAAATACTTGGACCATCCTTTGCTGCTTTGCCAGGTGCCACAGTATGTGAATCAAGCCAGTCGCCACAGGGCATGCCAGAGCTGGTACACCGCCATGTTGATCCCCCAGCTAAAGATTTTTTGTTCAATATTTCTTGTTGCGTTTTTGTTTGTTTGTTTGTTCGACCTGTGCAGGCCACTTGGCTCCCTTGGGGGAGGGGCAGGCCTTCAGGCCCCCCCTGCTCGGAGGCTTTCCAAAGCAGTTTAGGAATTACATCTGAGGGACTCCCAATAACAAGTCAATGGAATGCGTATGTATGTAGGGGACTGCCAGCAAACTGGTTTGGAGGGGAAAACAAGAGTGGGAGAAGTGGGTCTGATAGCAGATTCTGTGGGGGCAATGTGGGCACCCCTGTGGAACCGCAATCTCCACTGGCTTGCCCCAGAACTGGCTTTATCTCCTTTTCTGGTTTATTGCTTCCCTCAGACCTCTGGGACACTGTGAACAGGAGCGGTAGGCGCAGGCAGCATTGTCTTCTTGCAGGCTCTAGCAGGAAGACAAACTTCTACTGCAATGATGCTGTCTCTACTTTCTTCTGAAGTTTTTTTTTTTAATAGACTGAGGAAATTCCTTTCTATTCCTAGTGCATTGAGAAGTTTTAGCGTTACTAGGTATTGAATTTTACCAAACGTGGTTTCTGCATCAAGCAATACCCGTGTGTTTTTTCTTCTTAGGGCTGGTTATACGATGGATTACACTGGTTTGACTTTCAAATATTGAGCCAGAGTGTCTTTCCATTTGATTATAGGATTTTCATATATTGGGAGTTTGATTTTTATCTCATTTTGCTGAAGATTTCTCTTTGCAATTTCTAAAATGTGCCTTCATCTTATTTGAAAGGCAGAGAGAGAAGGAGAAAAAGAGACTGAATCATTCTATGTGCTAGCTTACTAGGGAGCTGGGAAAGGAGCCCAGAATTCAACACAGGTCTCCCACATGGGCGGCAGGGACCGAAGCACGTGAGCCATCAGCTGCTGCTCCCCAGGGTGAGCGCTGGCAGGAAGATGGACTGGAAACAGAAGAACGGGGACCTGAACCAGAAAGTCTACACGGAGTGTGGCAGCCCATGACCTGCCCCTGAGAAACACTTTTTTCCCCCCTGTATAAGAGGATATTATTCCAGGGCTATCCATTTTGTACTGTCTTTTTCTGGTGTTGCTCATAAAAATAGAATGGGAACTGCTTTTTTTTTTTTTTTTCAGTTTTCTGGAAAAAGTGAAACACGAGGCAACTCCCTTAATGTGTATGCTAGTACACTTCCTTCGAAGGAAGTGAAACATTTCCTTTAAAATCAGGAGCACAAGGAAGATGCACTCTATCACGAACATGATGCAGGCATTGCTATGCAGCGCGGAAAAGGAAAAAAGAGGTTTAAAAGGAAAAGGATTAGAAAGCATACAATGGTTCCTCACTGAAAATTATGTACAATTAGACTTTGCTATTGAGATGAGATGGGGAAAATCAGTTGGGGGTGAAAATTGGTGTGTGTGGGGGAATCCCAGACTCTACAGAATTGTACCATAAAATTCAAAATTTCAAATAAAAAATG